CAACAGATGAATGGGAGTTGGTCCCGTTAGCGCTCCCTTCTCTGTCTTGTCCAGAGTACACGTATCTGCATATTATTTTGCATCTCCATCTGCATTTTATTTTTAAAGTGAATTAAACTAACGCTAGTGAATTTGTGGTTGTCTTTTCTAAATGAAAATCCAGAAAGCATAACATAACTAATCTGAAACGAAAGAATGATCCTAAGACTTGCATTGTTGTAAGCAGCAGAAGGAAACAGCAGTGTTGGACTGTTAAGTGGAATCACAGGAAACAGTCTGCAAGTGTGAGATGCTCCTTTCAGTTTGTAAGGACGCCATCCACCCTGTGTGTATTTTCCGAGCCTATCACTTTAGACTTACATGAAGTGAAGGAAACACTTAACCTCTAACACTTATTTGTGACTTCACACTTCCTTTTGATGCAGTAGAAAGAAATGACAGAGCAGATTCAGTTTTCTCTTGCCACCACAGTCTTTGGGCATTTACCTCAAGTTATCTCAAAATGATTTTTTTTTTTGTTCATTTGTTTGATTTTTTCAGTTTTATATTTGAGATTATAATGTAATTAAAGTATTTCTCCCTTCCCTTTCCTCCCCTGAACCCTTCCATATACCCCTCCATGCTACTTAAATTTGTGTCTTTATTGACTAATTGCATTATATTCATTTATGTATATGAATATACATATATAGTCCTAAATATAACATGTTCAATCATATACTATTACTTGTATGTATGTTTTCCAGGTTGACCTTTTAGCACTGCACAACCATTTATTGTTCCCTCCTCTGGAGATGACTACCTCTCCCACTCCCAGCTTTACACACATGCTTATAGTTTTGTTGTGTAGGGTTGAGGTCTCATGGGATTTTCCCTGTCCACCTTGGGTATTGCATTAGTGCTTCCTTATTCAGCTCACATGTGGAGAGTCCTGTTGGCAAGATTTTATGGATTTTGCTTCTGACATGACTAGTAGACACAGTCTCACAGCAAACTCCCTGGTCCGCTTGTTCTTGCCATCTTTCAACCTCCTGTTCTGAAAGTTCCCTGAGCTATAGGTATGAGAGTGCTTTGGAAATGTATACAATACGACTGGGCTCCAAAGCTCAGCATTCAATTGGCTTGGGTTTTATAAATAAGAAATTTAATGTTGTAGGTATATGTTTTTATATTCACACAGAAGATAAAGATTGAGTGTTTTTTATACATCCACCCATACCCCAAACACAAAATCATATTACCCATACATAGTTAGAATTTTATATTTATGTCCCATTGCTTTCTAAAATTACTATAGCAATGTAAATATTCTCCAAGTTAATCTTTAATATATCCACAAGTTCTGAATATGGCATTATCATCCCTAGCAGACACAATTTTATAAAGAAAAAAATTTATAAAGATCACACACAAATCATCATTTTGTAATTTTCCATGGCAATGCTGGGAAATGGAGGAATGATATCAAAACTTATAAGCAAAACATTATTCCCAGCTTAAATTTTTGTAACAAAACCTAACTGCAAATTAAGTATGAGAGTAATACAACAATGCATCTGCAGGTAAGGAAGCTTTAAAGCATTATAGTCTCGTGCACTTTTTCAAAAATTAACAGAACATCTTCAATTAAAATGAAGAAATGAGCCTACAAAGAAGAAATGGTACTGTGAAAGAGCATCCCACAAAACAAGGCAGTGGGAACATTTCTTAATGCACCTTTGGCAACTTGCACATTTTTAAACAGGCTGACTGCTTTGTTATAGAAAAAATATTCTGGATTATATGTCCAAGAAAAATGAAACTACTGCAGTATCTGTAGAGTTCAATACATAGATAGGTAATTAAGTATTTCAGACCTTGTGGTCAATTAATGGCACACATAGAGGAAGCTATGTGGAATACGTAACATAATTTTCAGTCTCAGAAAAAGGATCTGTAAGAAATGAAATAAAATTATAGGTATTTTCTAGCTTAGTTTGTTTTCCCAACTCTTTGTAAAAGTCTAAATGGCCCACTTTTCCTTTGAACATTGCTCTTCTGTAAGTACAAACATGTTTCCTTATGCCATACACAGACCTTTATGTTCAAACTCCTGATCAACTAGGTATGCTAATACCACATTTAGAACTTGTGCATAAATAAATAATATACTTGGATAATATTTTCATTGCTACAATAGTTAAAAAATTTATATATCATAAAATGAAAATTTAACTTTGTACAGGTAATAAGTTATAAAAATAATTTTGTGTTTGGGGTATAGACAGACATATGAAGAAGAGAATCTACCCTTAGCTTCTGTGTGAACATCAGAATGTACATTTACAGCATTAAATATCTTATTTAGATAATTTTTGGTGAATACATAAAGAATCTTTCTCTTTTTGTTGTTATTATTAGTCTCTCTCTCTCTCTCTCTCTCTCTCTCTCTCTCTCTCTCTCTCTCTCTCTCTCTCCCTGTGTGTGTGTGTGTGTGTGTGTGTGTGTGTGTGTACAGGTGTGCATGTCTTCTACTCAAAAGTAGGAATCAGAAGTGGGTATTAAGTGTCTTCCTTATATAATTATGTAATTTATTGCCTTGAGAGAAAGTCTCTCACTGAACTGTGTTTGCTCTTTAGCCTAGGATGACCAGAACGCTCCTAAAACCCACTAGTCTCCACTCATCAATGCTGGGACTGCAGGCACACACATGCATGTCTAGGTGTTTTTATTTGAGTACTTAGTATTGAAACTCAGATCCTCACCTTTGTACAGCACATGCTTTTACCTACAGAACCATTCCCCAAGCTTCCAAAAAAATCTGTTTAAAGAGTTAATGATTTTTTTCTATAAAGAGAAAGGGAAAGATAGGCCTAGAGGCTATTTTCTTATACTAAACCTTGAAAATAAATTTACACTTAAGTATTAGCTGAGGAAATGAAATAAATTATTCTCATGTTAGTTTGTATATTTTTTCTTATGTGATGTAGATAAATTTTAAAGCAAAGAAATTTAACCTATATAACAAAATATTTAATTTATATAACTACTAGCCTAATTACAGCACTTGGGGCCAGATAATTGAATGTTTGGAATATCATGTAAAGAATATTAGGGAAAAGATCATACTGTAAAAAAAGAAAAAAGAAAAAAAACATGATTTTTAAAATTGGACCTGACCATGCTACTTACTGCACCTAAAATTTCCCCTATGGCATTTGATCTCTTGGATATCTTAGTGTACAAATGGTAGAATATTGCCCACTCTTGGACTATTTTGGAGTAAGTAATATCCTGTACTGAGCAGGAAGAAATACTCAAGAGTTAACTGATCCCAGATCATCTAACTCTGTTACATTAGTGTCTCTCTGAATCTTCCATTTGCTGTACACTGGTTTCAGACATTTTGTGGAAAAGTGTGTAAATGGACCCAATAAAAATAAAATTCCTTGCATTTATAGTGACTGCAATCAGGCATTTAGAAGGGACTGTATAATGGTTGAGTGAGGAATCTCCTCTTTGAATAAAACATTGGCAGAATCATCAGAACTAGCTTTCAGAATCCTAAAAATAAAGCATAAGCTTGTAACAGTCTGGGAAGTGTTTATTCAAGAAAAACCGGTGGAATTCTTTAACATCAAAAGGCATTTAAATTTGGTTTCACGCCTAGGTTTGTAGTAGCCTGAAATGCATCACCACTCTAGCAGTTTCCACGAGGAGAACAACGCTGGAGCACTCTAGACAGGGAGCCCTGAGAGAATTGCCACTGTGTGGCCTGTCTGGAGCTTCACAACAGAAGTTATTTGATAATTGACTTGTCTCAGAACACATCTGGGGAAAAGTCCTGACTCTCTGGACATTTATTGAAAACAATAAGAAACTGGTTTTGCTCTCTATTGTTCCAAACTGCAAGTAAGCAAGCGTCTGCTCAAGATACTAAAGAGATTTGGGGTGTGAGGCGCTTATGAAACTTTGAAACGCTCTCCTGTGTTCTGACAACGGTGGAGGTTATATAGAGGCGGGTTGTTATCTGCAAACCCAACGAATGCTCAAAATGAGACCATTCTGGCTGAGCTTGGACTCTGTGTTAAGAAGAGAAAGGTAAGGTAGAGCATCATATCGTCCCGAGCATAGAAGGTGTGACTCCGAAGAAAACGAAACTCCCTAACTGAGCAAATAATTATAGGCTCAAGGAACTCAAGAAACCACTGTCCAATTATTCTGGCGTCAAAGCTCACAGAAAAAATTTCAGTAACTAGATTACAGTTAAATCACTGTAACTCACTGAGCAACAAAGAATAAAACCTAAAGGCAATAAAAAGTGTGGATTGGAGGTAAATGTGTGTATGGAGCTGGAGGTGTACCATCATACATTATCTAGCCATATACTACCATGGCTTACTTAATACTTCTAATTTTTAACAAAAATTTAGGAGACATGCTGAAACAGAAAATATCATCCTAAGAAAATGACCAAAAAATGTCTTTAAAGTGACTCATAGGCTATACTCCTCATATAGTCACAAAACAGTTAAAAAATCGAGATTAAGAAAATTGACTCTGCCTTCCCTTTTCCTTGCCTGTAAAAAGCCTGAAATCAGCCAGAATTGGCTCCATTTGGTCTTTGTTGGTCATGAAAATAGACCTTCATGTACATTCAATCTCTGTATGAGAGATCAGCCAGAATTGGCTCCATTTGGTCTTTGTGGGGTATGAAAATAGACTTTCACATACGTTCGATCTCTGTATTCATTAGAATACATTTTTATATACTAGACAGTGTTGCTGCTCAAAGGACATCACCAACCCTGAGATTTTTCATCCACACTCCCAGAATAACTGCCTGCAGGGCTACACATCTATAAACACACACACACACACACACACACACACACACACACACACACACACACACACAGAAATACCTCTATTCTTTTTGTAAATAACGAAAAGCACAGAGTCACTTGAAAATATTTTAGGTGTGCATGTATCAGCCTTTATAGTATTCTTCTCTTTTGCAGGTCCTCCAGTGAATGTCACATGCAACATATTCATAAACAGCTTTGGCTCCATTGCAGAAACGACTATGGTAAGCCTGTTCACTCGGTAACAAGTTTCACACTGGACTGATTTGTAATTACCTTAGAGAAATTTAAACTTAATTGGATATAAGGAAATTTTAATAAATGAAATTATTGGAATGACTAAATTACTGTCAACTGTATATGATAATATCTATCTAGAAATTGTATATTGGAAAACAAAAAAAGGATTAAAAACAAGGTTGGATTTTTCTAATTCAACATAATAGTGTTAGATTTCCATGAAAAATTAAAATGCTACCAGATTATTTCCAGTACTCAACAATAGTCACCAATGCATACTAGTAAACATCCTGATATTTAATTATTCTTCATGCTTACACTCTACTTATACTATACTTTTATGTATCCTACTAAATTCCCTTTTCAAGTGAATGAAGCACTTTCCCAAACATAATAAAGATCTATAAAAAGCACTAGTCCTAGAGGTACGGGCTTCTAATCCCAGCTACTCAGGAGTCTGAGCCAAGAAGATCATTGGTTCAAGTGCTGTATGGGCTACAGAGTGAGCTACAGACTAGCCTAGGAAATTTACTTAGACAACTATTAAATGAAAAAGGGAAGGAGAAGCAGAGAGCTGTGGCTTCATGCCAGGTGCATCCCCTAGCTTTGAAGATGTTGGTTCAGACTTCAATGTCAAAATCAAAACAAACCCAAGACTAAGATAATCTATGCAAACTATAATTACTGTGTTTTCATTTATCTTTGCTGTCTTACTAAGGTAAGTACATAAAATGAAGTTAATAAGGCCCCAGAAAAGAGAGCTGAAGCTGGGTGGTGGTGGCACATGTCTTTAATCCTAGCACTTGGGAGGCAGAGACAGGCGGATCTCTATCAGCTCAAGGCCAGCCTGAGCTACTGAGTGAGTTCCAGGAAAGGCTCCAAAGCTACACTGAGAAACTCTGTCTCAAAAAACCAAAAAAAAAAAAAAAAAGAGAGAGAGAGAGAGAAAGAGAGTTAATCATTATATACCAACTTTGTTTTGAATTGTTTAACATTAATTAAATATTATGTTGCATATTCTTATTTGATCTATTGTACTAGTTGAGAAATTTAGCTGATATAAATAGGCAAAAATATGTCATTGAATCATTGAATAACTAAAATAATCTATCAGTCAACATTTAAAACAAAAGTGTGATGGTTCTTAAATTACGTAGTTATACTGTATTCCTAAATTTAGCAAGAATAATTTGCATTAATATCTCAAGTAGAATTAACTAAACTATCATATAAAATACTTAAAAGACTAATATTCCCAAATCTGTTATAAAAATTACATCATTGAGCCGGGCGGTGGTGGCGCACGCCTTTAATCCCAGCACTCGGGAGGCAGAGGCAGGCGGATCTCTGTGAGTTCGAGGCCAGCCTGGACTACAAAGTGAGTTCCAGGAAAGGCGCAAAGCTACACAAAGAAACCCTGTCTCGAAAAAAAAAAAAATTACATCATTTACGTATTTCAGATTCACACAACAATGAAATTTTTTATTAAATATAATGACAAAAATTGCTAATTTAATGTGGATATTATTTTCACTGACAGTTGTTTAAGTTTTATACAGAAAGGAAAGGAATTCATCTCAACAGAAAGAACCATTCAGGCATCATTTTCTTCAGCTTGCTGCTATACTTATCATTAAACAATATTTCAATGGTTCCTTTCTAATGCAGTATAGTGATAGGAAAAGCATTGGCAAAGAATAATGGGACTCAAACTTCAATGCATGATAAAGACTCATAGAATCATCTTTAACACAGCATATAAATACATATGACTGTGTATTAATCCAAACACGGAAAATGATACAATTTCTTATATAATCACAGTGTGGTTCTGTCAAGAGTTTATGTCTACACTCGGGAGGCAGAAGCAGGCAGATCTCTGTGAGTTCGAGGCCAGTCTGGACTATAGAGTGAGTTCCAGGAAAGGCGCAAAGCTACACAGAGAAACACTGTCTCGAAAAACCAAAAAAAAAAAAAAAAAAGAAAGAATTTTATGTCTAAAGTAATTATAATTGTTTGAGACTAGCATATTCTACAGTCTTATTGGATGTCTAGCTCTGATTTCTGATTCATCTCCTGTATATATTTATGCTTCATCTAAATCATCAAAGAAAACTACAACTGGCTTTTTCCTGTGTCATTCCTGAAGTTATATTTAAGTTCCCCTGGCAACTCTCTCATTTTAGTGTCTTCTATATATACAGACAGTAGTCCTAAAATCCTGAAAATACATTTTCTTTTATTTCTCCTGTGCAAGATTGATTCCAGAAAACACCTCCCATAGCAATAGTTAGAAAAATTTGCCATCTTAGTAAAGTAAGGCAACAGAGCTTGAATAACACAGAGGAACTCTGATTTTCAGGTTCCTAGAGGATTCTGTTCTTTGTGATGATTCTCCAGCCTGTCACTGAACTGTCCATCATTCCTACAATATGACAATGCTGACTAAATTTGTTAATATTTTGCATTTCAAAGTATTGTACACATTAGACATAACAAACATGACTCAGATTTATGTCCTTCTTACAGCATAGCAAAAATTTGCATTTCTACGTATTGCTTAGTAAATGTTAGCTCTATAGGCAATTTTAGCAAATGTCCCTTGCTTTTTGACAGTTTTGAGCAAGTATAAGTAAAGATTAATAAAGACTCCAGAAATTATGTGTAGCTGAAGTTTTCCTGTGTCCTGCCTGACCGGCGTTCAGGACAAATGTCTCTTACCCACCAGTCTGGCAGCTGCTTGGACCCAAGTAAACACACAGAAGCTTATATTATTACTAACTATATGGCCATTAGCTCAAGCTTATTACTGACTAGCTCTTACACTTAAATTCTTGTTTATATTTAGTCACTTGGCTTGGTACCTTTTCTCAGTTGTGCGTTCACTTTTTGCTTCCTCTGTGCCTGGCTGGCAACTTCTGACACAACCTTCCTCTTCCCAGAATTCTCCTTGTCTGCTTATACCACCTGTACTTCCTGCTTGACTATTTGGCCAATCAGCATTTCATTTATCAACCAATCAGAGCAACACATTCACAGCATATAGAGTGACATCACCCTGCAATTATGTGCTCATTAAATACTTCACATTGATGTCTTTCTTTTTAATTCTTCCATATTACTAAATATGTGATATCATTTTTCTCATCCAATTGCTCAGATTAGATACTTTAAAAGTTTCATACTATCAGCTTCTACAGCTGAAATATGGTTTCCATTTGTCAAAGGAATAGAGGAAAGTAGAACTTGCTAGTATATTTTGATCTGAAACATCATAAGTTATAACGCTTCCAATTGATTAATTTGTTATATTTTATTCATAATGACCATCTTCATTACTCTCCACATAAATTGCATTCTGATGTTTAGTATTTTTTAAACAAATTTTATGCTTATATGTGTTAACATGTTTTTAAATTAACTCTATGCTAAGAATGTGGTAGTATTTTTATTACATTTTATTTATTGATTTTGTATTCTGTATGTCCGTGTGTGTATTTGCCTGTACATGTTCACACATACCATGTGTAGAGGTGAGAGGACCACGTGTGGGTATTGTTTTTTTCCCTTCACCATGTGACCTGTGAGGATAGAGCTTTGGTTGTCAGAGTTATGCACCAAGCCATCTTCCCAGCCCTATATTTTTAAATATATTCACATTATTCCAGTTCTGTTTTTATATATAACCTAATTCAACTAAGATTACCAATTCAAATTAAAAGAATGTAATTGTAGATTGCTCAAAATTAATTCATTAATATCTTTGTGACTGAAAATTCATAGATTAATGTGACTAAATAATTATCCTATATGCATGTAATTAACAACCTTATGAACTGTCTTCATCGTTCTTACTACCCTTTGCTGGAGAGAGCTTTTCAACTATTGAATCTACCCATTTCAATAGACAGTATTATTCTCAACTGAAGATAGCATTATTCTTCCTGTAGAAGACATTCTATTTTTTAAGCCTTTTAAAACTTCACAATTTCTTTTTGGATCAACGTATAGTGTTTTATAATATTCATGTGTTGGGGAGTGCTTGGTATAGGTGTGGAATACACATCTGTCACATCTGTCCTGTGCTTTGGTCTAGAGCTGAAAACATCTCATGATTATTTCCATAAAGCAAAAATTAAGACCACTGAGTCAAATGATGTATATTCATGCTATCAGTGTTTGAGTTGTAAACAAGGCTTACACGCTAAGATGAAATACTTCTATTGTGAACTTTGTATTTAACTAATATGTATGGAAGTAGTCATTTGGATATCTATATTAATATCTCAAATGGTTATAATGGCTTAAAGACATATCCAAGAAAACAGTTGCCATCCATCTTTTAACACATGTTAGAGAACTAGAAATTTCTCTGCTATGTACTGAAAATCAGCATTTACTCTAGAAATATTGTATTCTGTCAACATTCATAGAATAAATACATTTTACAGAGTAAAAATAAAAACTCAGATTCTGTTTTGATAGCTTCACAATTGCCTTTCTATGCATAGATATATAACAAGGATTTGAAGAAAATCATGAGTTCATTGTACTTTCAGAGAACCATCAAACTGTTAAATGTTAAATATTTTACACAAAAGCTAGGTTAAACTTTTTGTTGTTGCAATGAGCATGTACTTTCAGGTACTACTTTAGATTATCTAGTAATTAGATTGGAGATTTTAAAGCAATATGGCATAAAAATTTATAGTCTGCACACATATGTTAACACAATCTTTGAACTACTCAATCTTCTCAAAAATATTTTAATCAAATAGTTTTAGACATACCAAGATGCACTGATAATAAGATAAGAACTAATATGCTTATCACCATATTATAAAATTAAGCATGATAGATAGATTATAGCTATTTCAGTCTAAAGAGTGACTTCCCTGCAAACTGAAAGGAAGCCTTCGATATCAAAACATAAGCTTCATGGTGCATGTATGAAAATATAAACCAAACAATTATACCGAACTAT